CTGACAATGTCATGCAATTCACTTGAAGCCGACGAGGTCGATGGCTAGTATGATGCAACGCTTTACTCCAGTACTCCCTTTTTCTCATGAGCATGTACCATTAGGTTTTGATTGGATCTAACGTCGCCAAAAGATTCGCGGATTGAAAGACCGGAATTATGATAGCTTTTTTTACCCATCACATTTCCAAGACTACATGTTCGCCTGTGATATATTGAAGAAAAGAGGCTGTCGAGCCTGGAGTCTCACTGACAGTATAGTACGAACATTATACCATGAAAAATTGAATTTTTGGTGTTTGGCGGCTCAGCCATGGTTCCCTTTCTTTCTCTGTTACAATACTGCGATGTACATTATCCCCACTCTCTGCTTATCTGACCTCCACTTTCTGTCCGTCAGGTGTACAACTTTCTCGTAAAACTCGCTATATAATATCAATTCTGACACAGCAATATATTGTTACAGACCACATTTAACAGCGATAAACGTACAGATATCGACTCGGAAGCACAACGTAACGAAAAAAATGTATCCAAGAAATCAAAGATGATTTTGGCAGGTATCTATCAATGAGGTAGTAAGGCTTACGCGCCTGCAGATGGTGCACCATGCATCTCGAAAGAATGGCCTTGGTAATCATAATAACCCTCGGGCGCGTGGTGGACGATGGGGAAGCCAGTCACCAGGGACGCGCCATCTGACTGCTGGTCAGAGACGAAAGCGTAAGCATCATCCTGGGAGAAATGGAGGACACTGTTAGACTGAAATGTGACAGGAACGGGAGCGTGAAGCATGGAATTGATGTCTCCAGGACTGTAAGAGTCAATATTGATGGAAGGAATGGGAGTTGAGGTAATAGCAAAGATGGCGTTGCCAGAGGAGAGTCCCGCTGCATTGGCATTAGAAGGAGGGATGTTATTGAGACTGTTCGTGGGGGGAACTGGGCTGTGGGGCACCGAGATCGAACGATATGCGTTCACGATGGGCTCATGGTCGAAAAGCTGTATGGTGCAAGTACATGCCTGTGATTTATATGCCTGCAATACGAATAGTATCAGTCCTAAGAAGAACAAGGAGAAATAATGCACACCTTTTGCGCAAATGCCACACAATGAGTGGTGGGGTTATGGTAGACCACCTTTGACTCGTAGTCGACATGTGCATGGACACCGTGTCCACAGTCAACACAGATGAGCTAAGAGAACCAGGTGGTACGTGAGTGTATCTGTCGTAGAGAAAGTCTAAGGCCTACCTGATCCTGGGACAGCGACGAAGGAGCATTAAACAATGGACAGTGACAGGTTACAGCCTCATCAGTAGCATGGGTGCATCGTGCCCTGGGCACTGCAATTGATTGAGACATGAGGTGATTATAGAAGACTTGTAAGAGTGAAGGCGAGGCACTAATGCAAAGCAAAGGACTGGAAGGTAGAACTTATATAGCCCTCAGACGCACCTAAAAGTAAAAAAAATCCTACTGATTGGTCTTTGATCAGACCTTCAGGCTCGGCCCGAAATCAAGAACTTGAGAGTTCACCAAAAATAACCACACCTAGGCAGTCGAGATCCGTCTTACCAATCATCCATTTGCTTCCATTACCCTGCTAAAAGGTGGATACATGATGGCGGTCTACACATTCACAAGGTATTATGGATTTCGCGTGTTGTAACAGAACGAAACACTCATCAAGAATTCCACCGTGCCGCTAAAACAACGATTATATGGGAGTCTAGGACAGTGATTTTTCCTGATGCGGTCCATGACGAATCGACGATGGAGGTGTTGGAGGTCCACCCGCAATAAGTATTGACTGATGAAGCGCAGGTCATTGGAAGGTGCTGAGGCTAATAATGGAATGATCTCACCCTGTCTTTCAATACAAAGGGCTAACAGAAGCATTTGGATTGATCCCCGACTCTCAAGCAGGCACGACGACGCTCGTATCCGAATCAGCCAGAAGGAACTTGCAACTGCCGGGCTGCCGGAATGTCAGCCCTCCACGGGTGCACTGTGGTAAGTCTACAAAATGGACCAGGAGAGATCAATCCACCGAATTAGCTCATGAAATCAGAGAGACAAGTCCGAGTTTATTCACGAAACTCCAATCTTTTCAAAATTTTGAGGAGATTTGACTCCATTTTAGTGGATATTTTCTTTACTCAGGGAACGGCTCAGGGCCATACTGGATTTGGGCCCTCGGCTGATCGAAGAAAGCGAATAAGCCGTGCATTGTCGCCATCTACTGCCGTCATCACTCTCTATCCACTCTCATCTTGGATTTCATTGTATTCCGAGTACCTTCACTGTCATCCATCGATGTCCTTAGGTTGAGAGCTCTCCATCTACCACCCATTTCCCTGAAAATCCTTTCCGCCTGATATTCACGCTTCATCATGACTCCTTTCTGAATACAATATCAAGCGATTTCGTCAGACGTACTTGGCTATACGGTTAGCTTTGTTCGTCTAGTTTTCTTCTTGATCTGAATACTCATTCTCCAAAAAGAAATCCTGTATATTCACCTGCCGACTAAGCGAATCTGACGTTACTTACGATAATTGATACCTTCCCTGAGCTAGGTGCAGGAAAGATCATGGATGGGAGTGCATGCTCAACTTGACAGTCCATCGTTTAAGTTGGTCAGATCATAGGCCGACGAGGACGGTGCAGACTCAAACGCGACTCACACTATGTACGTCCCGTCGCAGGATCCCTAGTAGTTACCCTAAACATTATGTTATCAGAAGTTACGACATACTAGCTCTTCCAATTGTTGCTGGCATCAGGTCTCGGGCTGTACAATCGTCTACAAAGGTCATCCCTATGAACTGAGCTTACATCTGGCTGACGATGCTATCAGTTAGATGGTTTTAGCATTACCTGAAGTCGGGGCACACTATTTGGGTGTGAGCTCCGAGGTTATGGGCCTCGATCTGAGGCGTACTTGCTTGAAAGACAGAGGAAGGAACGCTGGCGGAAGGAGGTAAAATAGTATATGGTGCGTCCATGGAATGCGTGAATTCACTGAGGCTGGCAGACCGAAAGAATGCGGGATTGATCGTGTAAGGATTTTGAGTATTATTCGGAAAGCTGTCCAGAATGTTCCACATATTATCAAAATAAAACGGATTGTTGCTTGCGACGTGGTTGTAAAGCAGGGTCTCGCAAGTGCAAAGTTGTACCACGGGTGTCTGTAATCTGGGTTCGTATGAAGATATCTAAGAGCAGAGCTGAGATGCATACTTTTTGAACGTAGGCAACCCAATGCATCTCGGGCTGTTGGTGTACAACAACGGAGACATAGTCGGCGTGTGTGTGTATACCATGTCCGCACAAAGCGCAGGTAAACTGGGATGGTGTGAACATGAAACGAGCATAGATGAAGTTAAAAGGGAGCAAACCTGATTTTGCTCAGGAGATGGAGGGGGGATGAACCATGGGCAGCAGTAGTCGATGGTACCCTCTGTCACATAGATACATCGCGCTCTAGAGGGTAATATTATGGAAAACATAGTGAGCTCTTTCTTCCTTAGCGGAGGTTGAGCGGAGGGGATGGAAGTAAAAACCTATTTTGGCATTCCGATTTTATGGGTCCAAGGATCTCAAGAAAACACGTATGCACGTTGGTTCCTTTTTGGGTACAAGTTCACTTGCAACGTGTCCTTCTCTTTGAACTGGTCGTCGTCGAAATATCGATACGATCGACCCTTAATCTATATGATCCGGCAGGTATCATGATCGGCATTTCATTAAATTTTATTCACGATCGCCATCAATCGCATCGCGATCATTTCACATCTCGTATCTTCTCCTAGATCCTGCCCCTGGACGACACAGGCACCGATTGAAAACTCACCATAGGAATTCCATATTACAGCCAGACGTTCAAACTTGAAGAACCTGATGAATTGACATGTCTTACAAGCCGCGAGTTCAGAAAGCGCCGCGGCTCGCGTCGAATCACAGGAATATTTGCATATATCCCCCTGTTTCCTGGAGGCGCTTGATCCCTGTTGCACGAAAGAGCGTTTGAATCAAGATTCCGAAGTAGGCAGTGTTAGTATTACAGGAAGGCGACAGAAGGATCCAAAGTGATAGATAGACACGTTTCGTAGGAGATAGCGAAGGGACTAGTACTGCAGTTTGGCGGGCAGAGATGACAGATAATTGATACATCAGACCCAACTAGAACTGGTAGCATATAAAATAAGGCAAGAGAGAGAACAAAGCGATTCAAACCCGGAATTTCACGGCGTTGTCGGAAGAGCTAATCGCATCAGCGTTGGAAGACGAGCCGTTACTGTCCAGCTTGAAATAGTCCAGAATTTTCCATGGCTCTGAAGAAGATACGAGTTGTCGATAGCGATGCGGCCGCAAAGTTGGACTTCACGTGTACATTGTTGCGTCAGAGACATCTACAATGTAAGTCACGAGTTGTAGATACTGTGCGGAGTGAGGCAGCATAGTTTTTGGACATACGCGGCACAATCGCGTTGCGGGGATATTGATTGACAATCATCGAAACACAGTCGGCATGCGTGTGGATGGCCGTACCCACGCGTACCACATATGTACTGGGAGAACGTGAGCACGAGAATATGAATGAAGGCGAATGCAGGCCTACCTGACCAAGCAGGGTCGACACGAACTATACTGCCATCTAAATGGCAAGGCTGTGAAAGACATCGGGAAAGTGCTGAAGATTGCTTATAGAAAGCAACACGGAGCGGTAAGGAAGAGTTCCTTGATGGCTCTGAGAAACTAGACCTGGTAGAGGTTTGGGGATACGCAACTCCCAGCAGGCGCCAGCCAGATTTGAATTTACAACAAAAGGCCACTCTACATACCTGGATCTTAGGGGCATCCTGGTGCATCCATACTCCGCGTCAAGAGAGAATGCATGGCGGAGATAGTTTGTATTGAATCCTGGAACAGAATAACGTCATTCAGACAAGTGATATGTGAATATTTCTCTCAGAAAGACACGAGCCAATTAACGCTCGACGGAGAACTGTTATAAGTGGGACGTCACCTTGATCCCTGCCGCCTCGAAAAAAAGACGGGGGATTTTGTCTGTCAATGCTGCGGGAGAAATAGACACTATCGCCGAGTATTAGAGGCAATATTTCAAGGTGGCCGTGATGCTGGGAGCGGTGTATTGACCAGAAATCAGACAACAGGTCCCACTAGGCGTGCTGTGGCAATGGCACTGTGGTGGCCGTCGATCGAGCAAGACCCTGGGAAAATTGGTTGCGGAAATAGCCGGAAACTCTTGTCCATTTCTGTTTCGTTCATCGGACTTCATCTATTTCTACTAGGGTTATGTAACGTTCAGCCTCAACCTTGTACTGCCCGCCACACGTTCGTCTTTCTCAGTGAAACCCAATTCTCCTCTAAACAACTTCCCGAGTCACCAATAGCCCAAGACCAGGCCTTATCAGTGTAATGTCACCTTCCCTCAGGATTCCTCGTCATCGACCACGGAGAGGAGATACTGCCATCGTCGTCACTCAGTGTTCACGCATCATGGGCGACACATGCTTGGAGCGGGATACCATTCATTTCTGTTCCTAGTCTTACACTCCTCGACCAGCGCGGCGGGACTTAGACGGCACCGCCTACGTGCTCTTTCTTTCCTTCGCCATCACTGCCTATCTTCTATCCTTTCTTATCCAGGGTCTATGGACCTATCTCCTCCTTGACGTACCCAAATCCCATTCACGTCTCAAGTCCGACCACCCGAGCGCGGAGGTTTGGAAGATGGAGAGAGGATGCTGGGTACGGCTTACCTGTATCCCTCTATAGACCATAAGTTTCTTTTTGAGCTCAGCGCCGCTGTATACGACCTCGCCTATAGGCGGGAATTTTGGCGGCTTGGGCTCAAAGTTATTCATCGACAAGATTCGCATCATTTATCTTACTATCTTCGATTCCGAGGTCGCCCTTCCCATGTTCTCATTCTTTGTTAATTCAGAGGATCCCAGCCTGTCCTGCATTCACCCCACACCCCGCTACTCGTTATACAGAACGATGAACCGTAAGCCGGGTTATGCGGACTTTTGGTGCTTTCAGAAGATTGAGGAGATCTCGGAATGCCTACAACGAGTCGGTCCAAGACCAAGTCCGATGCTTCTTTTCTCATTCACAAACCCAACATAGACCACCAATCTGTATTCAAACGGCTGTATCCTGCTCAATACCACTTTTCTTTGTTCTCCCATCACTGCTCCTACGGCCCCGTTCCTTCATCATGCATCATCTTTGGACAATCTTTTTTCATACAATTCCACTCTCCAATTGCAACAAAGAGTGACGAATCAGCGTGCGCATACTTATACACTTTGAGGCACTTGCCGAATTCGCTCAGATGCGCTGCTTCGAGTGAGGAGAATGCGCGCTTTGGTTCGACGGCATGACATTCATGAATAGTTGACTATAACTAGACTATATAACTATGAAAAGGTGATAGAATAACGGGCCTCTAAAAGAGGAGAGAAAGGGGAGAGTCCAACAGGCGGTCGCGGTTGGGAACTGTGGTCAGCTAGATCGTGCCCAAGCTCCGGTTTCAGGTGTCGCGTCGTGAATGGCATTCGGGTGGTAATCCAAGGTCGCGTTCAGCGCGCCATCATCTAACGCGTATCCCCCGAGATCCCGCGCGACGAACGCGTCGGTTTCTGCCTGAGCAGTGTCCAACGAGGAAGGAGGAAGAGAAGCGAACGGCGTGAGGTGCGCGTCGTTGGAAGACGCAGACGCGTTCGTAGTGTGAGAGGACGCGGTAGGTGGCCGATAGATGTTGAACACAGGGACGTGGTCGACGAGGAGAGCCCCGCAACTGCATTCCTGTGTCTTGGGCGTCTAGCCGGAACGCATTACTTTAGTGTTCCTCGTAACATGGGGGGCAGAGGGGTACCTTTTGAACGTATGCCACACAAGAATTGGCCGGGCAGTGGTGGACGACGAGGGACATGAAGTCGGCATGGGCGTGCATGCCATGGCCGCAAACGCAGCGCAACTCTGGCTAGGAGGTTATGAGCAAGTGCATAAGATAAGAGGCAGTGAAGCTTATGCACCTGGTCTAGAGTAAAGCTGGTGAAGCGCGAACACAAGCAAAATACATTGCCAGCGTGTCCAATGCATTGTGCCCTCACTAGAGACGGGGGTGCATAAGACATCAAGAGCGAGCTATAGAGCAGAGGAGGAGAGGAGATGGAGGTTGGGGCTGTTTTCTACGCGTCTATATACAATAGTCGAGAGTAAGTGGGAGGAATCTGCCAGATGCAGTGAAGCTCAGAGGTTGACGTACCGTAATGGTTGGCCAATCCTAGTGTTTTCCGCTTCGAGGACATAACAATAAGGCCTCTTAGCGGTCTGCCGATGACTCTGTATAAGATGAGCATAGCTATGAGAGGCACTGTTCGAACCCGGGCTCAGGTTATTGATGCCTCATGGCCTACGGTCTATGATTAGCTCTCAGGCTGTCGTCGAATGCCCCGTTTTCCGTTGGACCTCCATCGAGCGCGCGCGCAAACACATAAAAGATATCGTAAATGACTATTCTACTAAACCAACAAGCGATATACTCCTGTTTTGCGTGCGCAGTGTAGGAAGAATCGTTGAAATCAGTCAGTTCGTTGCGCAGGCTTCCCTGGAGGACGTGTGAGTGTAATTAGGCGCCCATACAGCCACGTCTTGCCATAACCAGCTTCGCACTGAGAACATAACAAACGGCGCTCTGTTGCTCAGCGCCGCAATGTGCAAGGGTAGGAGGAGACGGCAGCAGAGGCTTACCTTGGCATATTTTTATACGTCTAAGGAAGCACGAGCCCGCAGATATAAAAGCCAATTTAGCTCAAAGTCACTTATGACGCGAAAACGATACAACTAGATTGAAAGTTGCGATCAATATTTAAGTTACGGGATCAAGTTGCCTAAAGGAATCAAATCAACCCTTGAAAGCCTCATCCAATGTCGACCGGGGGGAAAACTTGAAGACGACACAGCATGATTATAGATACATGGATAGATAAGCCAATGAAAACAAGGATGTCAAGAGGAACAAGAAGTAATCGTCACAAGGTTCATCGTTTTCCCTTCCCATTCGCTTTCTTTCCATTCTCCTTAGACTTGCCATTCGACTTGCCATTCGATTTGGACTTCTTAGGTCGATCAGAATCCGAATCATTACCATTCGCTTGTTTGGCCTCAGCTCGCTTCAGATCAGCTGTGAAACAACAAAGATAAATCAAAGTTAACGATGATTTAGGAAGGCACCTACATTTCGCGGCTTTCCTCTCAAGCTCATCCCAATCATCACCCTCGTCATCATCGGACCCCTCACCAAAGTCTGATCCGCTCTCACTTCCGCTAGCATCGGAGTAGTCGCTCTCGGCGTCACTGCTGCTAGACTCCGATTCTTGGGCTTCCGCCTCGAAATCAGACTCTGAATCAGACATTTCTGACCCATCGCTCTGGTTATCGAACAGTCAGTATTCATCCCTTCCTATTGCATGCA